GACTTTATATACACGTTAGAAAGACTAGATAGCCGTTTATTAAAAAATATTTGAAACACATGGACTGTCGGGAATAGCAGTGTTTGTTTGTTTTTGAATTTCGCGCAAAGCTACGCGAGGGCTATCTGCGCTAGCTGTCCCTAATTTAGCAGTGTAAGACTAGAGGGAAGGCAACTAGTCATCACCATCCATCGCTAACTCTTGGGCTACTTTTTTACCAACGAATAGTGGGATTGAAAGGGCGATCATGTTTGATGGGACGGGGATTCGAGCCCGCGACCCTTCAGCTTGCGAGTCGAGCTCCATGCCGGTCCTTGGCAGTGTTTTGAGCAAATAAGTGTTTTAGAGCATGTAATATAGTGTTTGGTAGTGTTTTGAAGCACAAAAACCACTAGTGAGTTTTACGTTGGGTATTTAGCGATAGATCACATAGTGTTAAGCGTACAGTAGAAATATAATAAGATACATGTTTTATTCGTGTTTATTTATTTTATTTATTTATTTTTTGCGGAGGAGGGGGTGGTCAAATGTTCTCTTTCTTGAACGAGATACAACAGCTTTGTTATGATAAGAGTACTTTACTAAAAGTTCTAACAATATTTATAGCTGCAGACAGTAATTCTCAAATTCTGGAAAGGCTATCTAAAAGCAAAAGAACAAAGAGATATTTTATTCTGAAATTTATAAACTGCAATGAATCTCTGTGTAACGGACAAATATTGTGGAAATTTCTCGACACAAAAAATTTATGTGACGTTAAAGACAGTTTTATTTCATAATATATATATATATATATATACTACTTTATTCGCCCAAAGTTCGATGCATAATGAAAACATCTGTCTTCTGAATTACGAGAGTTTAAGCGAAAACCAAAGTCAGAGATAAGACTTATTAATAATTTGTATTTGGTATTTATAGCAAAGTAACTACGGCTATTTGCGCCGTCTCCAGGTTTGAGTTATTGACCAAAGGGAAGGCAGTCACTCAGCAGCACCTTATCACACCCATTAACGCTAACAAATTACCTGTCTCTCGTATGACGCATCCACAGCTTAAAGCGTGGGGTATATTTTGTGTTATCGCATGGATTCGATCTCATCTCGCCAATTCTGCTACAGAAGTTGTAAAAGCAACTGTGATAAAATTACCTTAATATTGATAATCCGTTGATTTTTCTGTAGATATGAACGCTAAGTTTCATAGTAGAATATGAATTCGAACAGCTTTAGTAAAGTGAAAAACAGTTTATTTTGTAATTACTGAAATTGCAAGTTTTAGCTCAAAAAGTAACGTGAAACCCAGTCTATTATTAAAAAGAGCAAGGCCAAGCGTTTACATCTCTAAAGCATTGTTTTTAATAAGCAACAAAATCGAAATCTGTTTCTTTGTGAAATTTGTATTATGTAGTTTCGTAAATTATCGTATTTTAATTATTAAAAAATTAAAAATATTAAGTTATATTAACAAAATTTCCTTAAAAACAAACTCTGGAGATTTCAATACATATAAGCCTAATTTTTTATCACTATTTACTAAAATTGTTATGATGAAATGTAAAATTACATTATTTCTTCATTCTGTTATTTTTGTATACTAATAACCAAAGCAATGGAAATAAAACAAAACTGAAACATAAAACAACAAAGATTGTTTGTTTGTTATGGATTTCGCGCAAAGCTAAACGATGGCCGTTTGCGCTGGCCGTCCCTAATTTAGCAGTGTAAGATTACAGGAAAGGCAGCTAGTCATCCACCCCCCCCCCCCACCGCCAACTCTTGGGTTACTCTTTCACCAACGAATAGTGGGAGTGACC